AAAAAAAAAAAAAAAAAAAAAATGTTTTCTGAGTCGGTCACACTAAACATCCTGAAAAAATGTTTGATCCCATCACTTAGTCTCACCCCCAATATTGTGCCTAAGAACTGAGTTTTTAGTTTGAGATAGTATTTTACTTTGAGATATTATTTCAAAGGTCTAAAAATAAGTCAAAGGATAGCATGAGGAAAATGAGATTGCCTGCATGTATGGTAGAATGATCCATTTTATGTTAAACTTTTAATTTTTAATGGACCTAAAAGGATGAAACGTAAGAAAAAGATAGATATGATGGTCTGTCCTATAACTTTACAGAAGTTTTAGAACTTAACTGATCTTCAGAGTGATGTAGACTACAGGTTCTTAGACTAAAATCCAGAATTGAGGGTCCATGCTTGAGCTGCAGGGAATTTGACTTCAGGACATTAGATGAAATATAGAGTGTGTGGGTTCATTTTTTAATGATGACAGTGCAGGGATTCCAGCAGAAGGCAATTGAACCCAATACATTTAAAAGATGTTGGAGGCCGGGTACAGTAGCTCCTAGCCCATTGGGAGGCTGACTCAGAAGGATCCCTTGAGCTCAGGAGTTCCAGACCAGCCTGAGTAAGAAGCAAGACCTTGAGTCTAATAAAAAGAAAAAAATTAGCTGGTCATGTGGCAGGCCTGTAGTCTCAGCTATACTGGAGGCTGAGGCAGGAGGATCACTTGAACCCAAGAGTTTTGGGGTTGCTGTGAGCTATGCTGGTGCCACAGCAGTCTACCAGTGAGACTCTGTCTCAAAAAAAAAAAAAAAAAATTAAAAGATGTTGGTTTCTATTTCAGCTCCTTACCTTAGTGATGAGGGAACTGAAGTCCAGAAATGGCTGAGGGGTTGCTGAGGACCACAGCTAATTAGCAGCTGAGCCAGAAATAGAACTCATGACTACAGTGGGGTCATCAATCCAACTCCCTCCTTCTCTGCAGCAATAGAGAGATTGTATTAGTCATAAAATGAGATCTGGGGGCCTTTTATCTTCAAAAAAAAAAAAAGTGGAGTATTGAAGTTATGAAATGAGATGTGAGGGGAAGTGTCATAGAGCCAAGCAGTGGAGATCTAAAATAAACCCAAGCCCTGGATCCACGCAGTGGATGTCCTTTTAGCAGAAATCAACAACCTGAGAGCCGACTTCTCCTGTTACTGTTCAATTTCCCACTGTCCATGGGGCATTTATTCTCCACCTCTCTTTCCACCGCCTTACAGTCATTTTCAGCTTATCTCCCTTGTCTCATCACTGACTTTTTGAGCTTGCGAATGCATCTTTTTCCCTTCCATCCTATCCCCTGCCTTCATGTTTCTTTCATTTCACAAGAAATCTGCGGCCTCCACATGTGCTGCCCCGCACCCCTGGAGAGGAGCGAGACCCGATCTGGGGGCTCAGAGCGCGTGATGGGGGAGTCTGTGCGCATGTGCAGCCCAGAGACGCGCCCCTGTTAGTCCGAACCCAGCCCGTGCAGGGCACCGAGCTTTGGAAACTTGGTGGCAACGACGCACCAGGAAGGGAAAGCTGCTAATGGTTTTCCTCTCCTGCTTTTCTAGACAATAAAGCCGCTGTGAGGGAACAGGCTGAAGGAGAACTGAGCAGAAGGTGATGGCAGCCACTTGTTTTCCTCTCCTTACGTTCATTCCCCCCCTCAATCTTTTCCAGTTGGCTCATGTCTTACCCACAGAAGAGAATTTCCTGCTGCTCTTTCGATGCCAGCAGCTGAAGTCCTGTGAGGAATTCATGAAGGTACAAGAAAGCTGTCGCTTTACGAAAGCTGCTGAGTGTAGAGTTATTATTGGCTTTTTAAAATGTGTTTGGTTTTCCTTATCCAAACTTGCTTACAGACATGGAGAAAATACGATACCGATCACAGTGGCTTCATAGAAACGGAGGAGCTGAAGGTAAGCAAATAAAAACTTGAGCTAAGTTTTTCTTTTTTTTTTTTTTTTTTTTTTCTTTTCATATAAGCCGCTCAGGGATTCGCAGCTTTTTCAGAAAAGCTCCCACAAAAGAAACTCCTGTTGAGCAGAGGCACATTCTCACCCACTCTCCCGCATGGTGAATGAAGTACCAGATCAAAAAGAGACTTCAAGGGCTTCTTGAAATTCTGCTCAGCAATGCAAGAAACTGGTCTTTTCTGGGGTGTCCACAAATTATTACGTAAGGCAATTTATATAAGCCAAATAAGCCACTCGTTGCATTGAAAGTTGAAATTATATTTTGTAGATGGAACATCTATATAAATAGAGTTCCCTTACAAGAGAAAAACACGGACAGAATTATGGGGTACTTCTTATATGCTAACTACGCACATTATCTGACTTAATCTTCGCACGAGTTTTATGAGACCTATCACCCCACTGAGGAACAGGGTTGAGATAAGTTAGGGGATGGACTAAAGGCCGCCCAGATAGAAGGCACAGCGCTGCAAAGTTTAAACCCAGATTTGTCTGCCTCCAAGGCCCTCAGACAGTCTGTACGACCTACTGCCTCTCAGCAACGATAACAATAAAATTCTTCTATAATTCAACTTTTGGAAGAACTACAATTTTGAAATGAATTTTTCAATTCCTATCTCTCTGAGGAGGTTGCAAAGGAAAGGGCAAAAAAAAAAATCTGAAATCAGATTTTACCTCAGAGACAATCACGACATCGTTCTGATTTTTTCATCTTTAAAATATGGATACTAATACTTCCCTTTCAGATTTATTGTGAAGCCCAAGTAATAGGTTGCACGTGAAAGATTTTGTGACATGTAAGGCATAATAAATTATATTATCGTGTGTTCAATGTACTAGCTTTTCAGAAATCCGGCAGTATCCTTCATCTCATTGCCTCAAATCATCCCTAAGATGTCTCAGTCTGAAAGACCCTGTTTTCTCTCCCTTCAGAATACAGAGTGAGGAAAAGGGAAGGGAGTTAATGCTTACTGAGCACCTCTTATGTTGCTGGCAAAGTACGAGCTGCTTGGAACGTCTTTTAACATATAATCCTTACGGAAAATGTGCAAGTATTATTATCATGCCTTATATACAAATAGAAAGACTGAAAGTCAAAGAAATTAGATACTTTTCAAGATCACACAACTGCCTAGGAAAATAATCTAGATTTGCACCTAGAATATCTGATAATTCTAGTGATTTTTTCCAGCCACAAGCTCCACGTGCTTTAGAAGCTCAATTCGTTGACAGCTATCTCTTTTGCTGCTACATGGGGGAAATAAGAATATCGGTTTCCAAGTCATAGTTCAGTGGGGTTTGAGTAGCATACGGTTTTAGAGCTGGAACTGCGACATTTGTAGCATGGCAATTGCTACAAAGTGTTTAACAGCAGCCTCTTGACAATATAAACATTTTAAGTCACCAAAGGTGTGTCTTTTACCAACTTGCAGCTCAGCAACCCACAAAGTGATAGCTAAGCTATTGTGTTTTTATCCAATTGGACCAAAAATACTCTTTTAAAAATCATTTCAAGTTCATAATGAAAACCTTAGCTCATTTCCAATACTGACCTCAAAATATTCTGCAAGTCTCCTTCTTTGTTCTAAATTTTGTTCTCAGAAAGAGATTCTAAATAGAAGTCCTCTTCCCTGGGGAATTTTGAAGATAAGTTGGCATTCTTTTTTAATGGATCTTTCAAGAAAGCTAATTTTAAGATCTGTAATAGAGTAAAACATTTCTTGCGCTCAGACACGACTTTGAATCTCAGCGTCCCAAGGTTTCTCCCAGGCTATTTTTGTGACCACCGTTTTAGTCTCTGATGAGGCTTTTTAACCCAATTAATCTCTGACAAAAGCTTCATAAGACTCAAAAATAAAACTCCCCCCAATAGATAACTTTGAATTTTCCATGCTTCACTTACAGTAGAATGTTTGAAGTGAATAAAAAGAACTTATCAAACCAAGAAAAATATCTCCTTCCGTGAAAACAATGAAGTCAAATCAGACTAGAAGAACTGGTACATTTGGGAGGGAGATAAACTACTGGGGAACCAAAGGACGCTAATCCTTCAATAATATCAGGGCACAGTATCTGCTCAGTTTTTCATAATTACATTAATTCCTTTTCTGAGAAAATAAAGGAGCTACGAATGAACAGCACTAGACAGAATGAAAGACTATTATATGCTTAAGTACTTACACTGTCATTTATATGGAAAGCCTTTGTAAAGCTTTTATTTGACTTATGTCTCTATTAGAAAAAAAAAATTAAACTCACTCCTAACCTCCAACTGTCAAGTTAATAATCAGCTTTTTTCATCCTTCCCACATTGATCTCTATTTCAATGTGATGCATATATTCATCAAGGATTTGATGACGTCATCTGTGGCCAACTTTGAGTCAGTTGCAGCATTTTAACCAGCATGCTTTGGACTGCATCAAACCAAGAACTAACCAACTGGCCCTCTGTAGAACTGAGATGCACACTGCTATAAACCGATACGTTGATACAGCCTCTAAGGGTAAAAAATGCATTTGAAATGAAAGGTAGATCTCCATCTGGTTTACAGATAATTTTTCATAGATGGTACACATGTTGGCTGCTCTCCATGGTACACATGTTCACCACTCTCCACGTATGGAGAAAGGCTCCTATGTTTTTTGCAGGAAAGTCCCAGGAGATGTCAGGAAGTAGAAATACAGCCTTTGGCTGGCTGCTTTTAAAATTTTTCATTCAAATTTGCACACAGACACTCCTGTAATGGAAATTGTAAAAGCATAGCACAAATGACGACAGGTTACCTGTCAAAGGTAGTTCCATGGCTGGAATGCCAGGGGTATTACATGGCTGTGTCTGTCTCCTAAGTTCCTCCCCTCACTTACTCCCACCTTCCAAAAGGGACTTCCTTGGCATCCCTGGTGTGCTCTGTGTTAAGGTTTGCTAAAGTGGAATCAGACTGTACATTATCAATTGAATTTATATGAGTCTTTTCTGTTTTAACAGAACTTTCTAAAAGACCTGCTAGAAAAAGCAAACAAGGTTGTTGATGACACAAAGTTAGCCGAGTATACAGACCTCATGGTAAGACCAATCTTGAAAAGACTGTAGCCAAGAGCTCATGAAATACTGTCATGTTCTTGCTAATTCTCAAGGCTACATAGGGGCATGTCTGGGCATCACACGCACAGAGGTATCATTTCCCTTGAAAATTAAAATACTGGCAGATGCTTACATCCTGTGAAGCGGAGTACTGTAAACACTGGCTTCAAGGGTCACATAATAGCTGAGCATTTCCCTGCTCATGTGCTGTAATTGATCTGACAAAACATGAGGTTTTTTTACAAAACCAGTATGTCACTAAATTATAAAACGTATACATACATGTTACAGTTTATATATATATATATGTATATATAGTTTATACAGATAGTCCTCAAGTTACAAACATCTGACTGATGTATGACTCACACGTAGCATGGAAGCTGTTACAGGTAATAGGTTCTGTTCCAACTTACATACAAATTCAGCATGAGAAGAAAGCTATAGAAACCTATCCTGCTAGCCTGGGAACTGCTAGTATCACTAAAAAAATCACTTCATGTGGAGGTTCTGGATCCATTTTTGTCACAGCTCAGGAAATCATAGGCTGTTAGAGTTTAAGAAGAGCAGATTTTCAGCTACTTTATTGACTTAAAATGAATCTTCTTTCTTTTGACTTTTTCATATGAGGCTACCGTATTGATACTATGGATGAGAAAATCTAAAGCTATCTTGAGTCTCGTGCTTTAGTAAATAGTATAACCAAGATTTATTGTAGAATATTGATAACAGGACCGTGAAAGTGCTTCACACATAGACAACCAATATTTTAGGAAAAATGGAAAAATAAATTAGTGAGGTTCTAGATAAAATAAACCAGTGTCCATAAAGTTAGTTTTCATCTGGATGAAGTTTGCTCATTTTGACTCATTACAGAAGTACAACGACTAGGAGATACATCTGTTTACCCGTGCTTTTAAGTATGGTGATGGTACTGTGAATTCTTATATCATGGATTTAAATAAAACATAGTTATGTATTTTAAAACTATTATCTTATATCAGTTTGATGAAGTTAGACTTTTTAATTATCCTGAGAAATAATCTTACAAGGGTTTGATTATATTTGATGCAACTAATGTTTACTCTCATCCTCTCCGCCCACATTCATTTGTGTAAAATTGAACACTAGAACGTTACTATTGCCTTATTCACTAAACAGTATTATTTAGTGTAAAGTGGATCTAATATTTAGTTACAAAACTAGCAAGAAGGTTTTCATGGTCATCGTTAATTCCTTATTACATTTGCATTTACAACCATACCAGCAAGCAAATGGGGAGACTTTCTCTGTGTCACAATGAGCAAATCTCAGCTCCGAATGACTTTTGGAAAAGGGACAGTAACCTGCATTTTTCAATTTCCTATTTTGTTCCAATCTTAAGGGATACCTATTTAAAGAAAAAACTCCAGGTAGAAATTTGAAGCAGCCTTTCAAAAACCACTCAGATGGGAGGTTTCCCCTGTTGGATTGGCCTGACTTATCTGATTAAATGTCATAAACCAGTTTAAATCCAGGAAGCAAATTAATCAAGAACTAATTAAAATTTAAATATATGTATGTAGGGAAATAATTCCCCATGGGCACTAAACTGTGCAATCTGTCCGGTATCTTTGTAGACAATGTAACAATATTAGAATTTATGGTCAATGGATTAAAAATGTCTTATCAGTATAGGACCTTGAAAAGATCTGGCCCCTACAAAAGATTCTTAGAACATCTCAAACCTGGGGTGGGGCCTGTGGCTCAAAAGGGTAGGGTGCCAGCCCCATATGCTGGAGGTGATGGGTTCAAACCCAGCCCTGGCCAAAAAAGAGAAAAAGAGAATGTCTCAAAGCTTAGAATGGCTTCCCTTTCCTCCTCTTAATCTGTATTCATTACAACCTTGGCCATATTCCTTTCTTCAAAAAAAAAAAAAAATGCTACTTTCCCACACATTTAGTATATATAGTTTTCATATTTAAAATAGTTCGCATATGCTACTTCTGTATAACCTGTTAGGGCAATAGTTGCTGCTTTCTAAAAGCATGAATGTTTCCCCCATATGCGTAGGATGTGGAAGTGTCTGGGTATGTGATGTACATTGAGATAAGTGCAATGGGAAGTTAGGGAGCTTCACTGAGTATCTAGAAAATAGATACTTCATGGAAAATAACACGCTTAATGGCTCGGCACCTGTAGCTCAGTGGTTCGGGCACCAGCCACATACACCGGGGCTAGCGGGTTCAAACCTGGCCCAGGCCTGCTAAAACACTTCAAAATTACTTAAAAATTCTATTCTGTAAGAATTTATTCATTTTATTTGTTTAGTGCTTTTGTTTATGCTAGTCTTTGCTCTCAGAAGGTGAAACAAATTGTTTATTTTCATATCATTGTTTGAAGAGATTCTGGAAGGCCCAAATACTGCCAGACACCATCCCACGTCTTCATACACCTATGAACGTAGTTGCAGTAAAAACAAATGACAGTCCTCTGGAAGCATAGCTGAGACAGCTACTACTCTATAGTATTATGATAAACTCTAGCAATGGATACAAATTATAGAGCTGAATATTTGAATTAAGCTAAAAAAAGTTAGTTTCAAAATGTTACTGTGTATGTAAGTATTTGATAAACAGCTTCATTTTGAAAGTTCATCTCCCTTGTGCCATAAATCATCCCTCGAATGGCTAGAATAATGACGTTCTGTCTTTCAGCTGAAACTATTTGATTCAAATAATGACGGGAAGCTGGAATTAACAGAGATGGCCAGGTGAGTTTAGGAACCATGAAAATGTTGTTGTAATAAGCTGGTCCTTTTCAAAAACTTTAATCTATACATATGATTTTTTTTCTCTCAAAAAGGTTACTACCAGTGCAGGAGAATTTTCTTCTTAAATTTCAGGTATTTAAGTATTTAACTTTTTCTACCTAAATAACATTTTCCTTGAAAAGTTAGAAGGGAAACACATCGAATTATTTTATAGTGTTTTAACATTTGCTCTCTTTGTCTTTAGGGAATCAAAATGTGTGGGAAAGAATTCAATAAAGCTTTTGAGCTGTATGATCAGGTACAAGTTCATTCTTTTTTATCTTTCCTTTTTATGGTGGTAAGAACACTTACAATGAGATCTACCTTCTTAACAAATTAAGCGTGAAATACAATACTGTAACTATAGAGAAAAGCAAGTACAGCAGATCTTTAGAACATATTCATTTTATATAATTGAGACTTCGTGCCCATTGATTAGTAACCCCCCTCCCCATTTCCTCCTCCCTAGCCCTGGAAATCATCATTCTACTTTGTTTCTATGCATTTGACTATTTTATATATATACGTAGAATCATGCAGTATTTGTCGGTGACTGGCTTGTCTCACTTGGCATAATGTCCTCAATTGTCACATATGGCAAGATTTCTTTCTTTGTTAGGGCAGTGAAATGTTTCATTTTATGTATGTAGTACAATCTCTTTATCCACTCCTCCATTGCTGAATGTTTACATTGTTTCCACATCTTGGCTACTGTGAATGATGCAGCAATGAATATTAAAATGCTAGTGCTAATAGCTCATCAAATCATTTTGAATTTAAATCTTTGGATAAATATCCAGAAGTGAGATTGCTGTATCATTTGTAGTTCTCTTTTTAGTTTTTTGAGGAATCCCTATACTGTTTTTACTAGTGACTGCACCATTTTGCATTCCCACCAACAGTGTACAAGGCACCAGTTTCTCCACACCCTCACCAATGCATCTGTGTGAAAATAGGATTCTAACAGGTGTTAGGTGATATATATCTTGTGTGGTTTGTTTCTCTGATGATAAGCTTTGTTTAGCATTTTTTCATATACCTGTTGACTGTTCTGTATGTTTTCTTTGGAGAAATGTCTATTCAAGTCATTAGCTCATTTTAATTGGATTATTATTAGTTCTTTGCTATTGAGTTGTCGGAGTTCTTTACATATTTTGGGATTTAACCCCTGTGTGACATTGGTTGCAAATATTTTCTTCTCTCTCACTCTCTTCAAGTGAGAAAGTTGTTCCTCTCTCACTTTGCTGATTGTTTCCTTTGATGTGCCAAAGCTTTTTAGCTTGATGTGGTCTCATTTGTTCAGTTTGGCTTTTGTTGCCTTCTTTTAGTTTCATATCCATGAAATCTTGGCAAGACCAATGTCATAGCTTTCCCCTATGTTTACTTGTAGGAGTTTTATAGTTTCAAGTCTTACTGTTTAAGTCCTTTTGAGTTGATTTTTCTTTTCTGGTATAAGATGAGGCTCCCATTTCATTATTTTGCATGTGGTTTTCCAGTTTACCCAACACCATTTGTTGAAGAACTATCCCTGCTTCATTTGTCTTTTTTGCCACTTTTGTTGAAGATCAGTTAACAATAAACATGTGAACTGATTTCTGTGTTTTCTATTCTTTTCCGTTAGTGTTTGTGTCTAATTTTATACCAGTACCATACTGTTTTAATTAACGTAACTTTGTAATATTTTGAAATCAGGATGTCTGTTGCCTCCAGCTTTGTTTTTCTTTCTCAAGATGGCTTTGGCTAGTTGGGGCCTTTTGTGATTTCATATGAAATTTAATATTGTTTTTCTATTTCTATAAAAAAAATACCATTGGTATTATGAAAGGATGGCATTGAATTTGTAGAATAATGTAGACATTTTGACAGCATTAAACTTTTCAATTCATAAACACAAATGTCTTTATATTTGCTTGGGTCCTCATTAACTTCTTTTTTCAATGTTTTGTCATTTTCAGTGTACAAGTTTTCACCTCAGTTTGTTCCTAGCTTATTCTTTTGGGTACTGTTGAAAACATGATTTTCTAATTTGCTTTTGGATAGTTTATTATCATAACCTATTTTTTAATTTGTATCCTGCAACTTTATAGAACAGTTTTGTGGAGTCTTAAAGGTTTTCTATATGTAAAAAAAACATGCTTTCTACAAACAGGAACAATTTAACTTCTCTTTTTATTTGGATGCCCTAAAATTGTGTTCTTATCTATAAAAAGAATGTGGGGGGAAATGGGCTATTAAAACTACACAACCAGCTCGGCGCCTGTGGCTCAAGCGGCTAAGGCACCAGCCACATACACCTAAGGTGGCGGGTTCGAATCCCCAGCCCGGGCCCGCCAAACAACAATGATGGCTGCAACCAAAAAAATGGCCAGGCATTGTGGCGGGTACCTGTAGTCCCAGCTACTTGGGAGGCTGAGGCAAGAGACTCGCTTGAGCCCAGGAGTTGGAGGTTGCTGTGAGCTGTGATGCCATGGCACTCTACCCAGGGGGACAGCTTGAGGCTCCATCTAAAAAAAAAAAAAAACTACACAACCAATTTATTATTTTCATAGGAAAAGCATAAAAACCTTGATCCAAATCCAGTACTGTGATTTATCTGCCATAAAGCTTTGAACAAAATGCCAGACTCTTTTGAGCCTCAATTTATTCATTTGTAAATAAGAGATAATAATAATACTCACTCTGCAGGGCTGAATGAGGATAAAGCTAGATGAAAATGTCCAGCACAGTCCTCCTTCCTAGTAGACGGCACCATCCCATGTGTGAGAAAAGCTTGCTGGTGATGGCTCCAAGGCACATGCTTGGTTTGTCTGGTACAACTCTGCCACTGCCTAGTGTAACATGGGGCCATATAGATGGCATCACCAGGCCTCTGTGTCTTCACTTATATGAATATATTTATGATTATTTACTTACTTCAACAGGAGATGATATTAATGTAACATAACATAAAATATTCAAAGTATTATATAAATGTTAAGTTTCTGAGGTGTTTAAATGTAGCGTGAAATATTCAAGGCATTTTACAAATGTATTGAATGAGAGGCGACTCCTATCTCACACATTTTGCAGCTTTGAGGCCTGACAAAGCGAGTTATAACATCTGCCAACTATACAGCTGGGAGATTGTTTAAGGGAGATTTTCTGGGCAGTTATGTCCGTTTCACCCCATCCCCCGCTCCCCTGTTCTATACAGAGTTTGTTGTATACTGTTTACTTCTCCTCCCTCAGGATGGCAATGGATACATAGATGAAAATGAGCTGGATGCTTTACTGAAGGACCTGTGTGAGAAGAATAAACAGGTAACTTAGTTGCCGTGCCACTTGTTTCTTAAGCAGACTTCATGGATCCATCCGGAAGCAACTGCACACCCATTTTGGAAATCTACTTTAAAAATTTATAGAGGAACAGAAATAGATTTCAATTCTTAACTTGATTCGGTTCTGGCTTAAATCAGTGTATCTGTGACAGATAGATTTTTAAAACAAATTTGTGATTATTCACATTTGTTTAAGGACATAATCCAGCTCTTTTGTTAATGGATTGATGGAACAAGCAGTTTTCATCTATTTTATCACTCGACAGTGGTTAATTACCTTCCATATTTAACCAGATTTCAATGCCCTTTATGTTCTATACAGGAACTGGATATTAACAATATTCCAACATACAAGAAGAACATAATGGCTTTGTCGGATGGAGGGAAGCTGTACCGAACAGATCTTGCTCTTATCCTCTGTGCTGAGGACAACTAGAGTTGGTGGTCACAGCCACTTGCTAGCGATACATTGTATCTAAAAAGTAACTGTGCACTATAAGGGAGTAGGCTATATTTTCTTTTATATCTGTAAATTTAACTGCATATAGATGATTATCAGGATGTGTAGCTCATTCTTTTCAGCTTGTTTCTATACTGTTTGTAATGTACAGTTTTTGTAACTACATGATTGAAACGGAGAATGGAGAATGAAGATGCTTAGGCGAGTCAGTATACCCTGTGGAACAAAGAAATATAACCTAACATATTCCTGTTTTCATAAATATGGTTGGATGAGATTTCTCTAAAAATTCCACCAGAATTAACCTCTATGATTCTAGTCTCTGATGTGTAAATGCACATTTGTCACTGAATGAGAACATTATACGTGACAAGCCAAGCACTCTTATTTTAGACAATCATAGGACTGTCCCACAAAGTATTTCTAAGCTGTATTTCCAACTGTTAGGAGGAATGTGCTTTTGCATCTAAAATGCTCACCAAAGTATCAATAGTTATTGTGGCTTTATGAAGTTAACAGTCTCACTAGAGGAGATTTAGTTTACCTAATCAATGTGTCTACTGCTTAATTCCATACAAAACTACTGGCTCACGTTGATTTGGTGATAAGCGAAGACAGCATCAAATGACACGTAAATTTGTCTGATTCTATACCTATATTTCCAAGAAGCCTACTGTCAGAGCAGGACGTTAATCCATTTTCTAAACTGTTTTCATGTGTCGTAGGTTATAATTATTCTAGTAAACTGCTGTTTCATGTCATATTCTGTGTAATCTCTGATTAAATTTAATATACTAAGTATCCTGGTGTCTAGTTTTCATACTTCCTGGATTTTCTTTCAGGTAGAACTGTTCATTTCTAGGTAGAACTGTTCATTTCCACCAACGGTGTCTGCTGCCTCTGAAAGTATTTTTTTCTAGCTATAACAACTCTATTTTTTACTACATAAATTAAATTTTAATGTAAAATTCATAGCATCCTGATTATTGAATGTTCTATCATCAATACTTTTGTGTAACATGTGGATTCTATATTTCATATTGAGATCAGCATTCAAAATAGTAAAATTTCTATCTGTGAATAGTTTCAAATGAGTTTAAAAAATTACATCTGAAGAGAAATGCTAATATATCTCTAGTTATATAGCAAGGGAGATTCTAAAACATTCTTTAAAACACATCCAAGTAACAGTTTCACATATTTGTAGCTAGAGTATTCTATACTGGTTATAGTTGATAAGTAAAGGTTGGTGATTTTGGATTCTTCGGTTGTGAAACAGAAAGCTGTGAGAGATGTGGCTGTGTGAAACTTACAAAGATACTGCCAGGGAGTTAATGATGGTTTGGGATCACCTTGAATATCATTATTCTATAAATTCAACACTTATTTTTTCAATTCATAAATATAACAAAAATTGGGAGCTATCTCTTTCCCTTAAGAATGAAAAGAAAAGAGATCTGCCAAAAATTAAAATTTACCAAATGATGTTAAGTGAATGGCAGATCGGCTTTGCCTGTAGCATGTAAATGGAAGCACTGACATTAGACTGAATTTACTAAGACTAAATAAAGAAAATCACCTTAATCTCTTGTATTTGTTTCTTCTTCAAAATTCAGTTAACGCTGGGCAAGGTAGCTCACGCCTATAATCCCAGCACTCTGGGAGGCTGAGGTAGATGGATCGCCTGAGCTCAGGAGTTTGACACCAGCCTGAGCAAGAGCGAGACCACCTCTTGACTAAAAATAAAGTACCTGGGCATTATGGTGGGCGTCTATAGTCTCAGTTGTTTGGGAGACAGAGGCAAGAAGATCACTTAAGCCCAGGAGCCCTGTCTACCCAGGGTGACAGAGACTCTAAAGACAAAACAAAACAAAAAATCTTCAGTTGATATATACTCCAGGTAGTAATGTAGGATACTCAAACTATTATAGCCTAAAGAATCTAAATCAATGCCAGCTTGACTCAATGAATTATTAGATGCCTCACTGAGTTAAGGACTATCTCTAATGTTAAGATTTACATATAATCTCAAAATACCCAAATATTTTAGATTTTTGCCCAACTAATATTGTCAAATATTTCTTCTTGGGAGATACCTAAAGAAAAAGTAAAAGCATGCAGAATTCTCCTACATTTCATCTGCAGAAAAAGAGCTGGTCACTACCAAGTGTATATTAGGTTTGGCATTCTTAAAATAATATCATGACAAAGAAATAAAACAACAACAGCAATCAAGTATGACAGGAGCATTTCTGAAGAGACTTCCTAGATAGCTGCTAGTAACAATGGTCACGAATCTAACACCAAGAATATCCTAGTGGACTTCAGCTCCTAAGATGCAAAGAAATTCCTATACCTCATCTAAATCCATCACACTTACATGTAAGTGACAGGTTGCTTCCTGGGGCAGAGAACAGGGTGATGTATAAAAAAAAATCTGGAAGGGCAAATATAAGATTATTGACACAACACCTACCTTGCGCCATAAGGATGGATTTATGCTTTTGCAACACATATAACTAACAAAGGCATGAATCCAAAATACGTAAACACTACTCCTAAAAATTAATTTTAAAAAGTAAAACCTAAAAGAAAATGTGTCCGAACGTTCAACAGGCATTTCACAAACAAATGAATAAATGTCTGATAACATATACAAGGTAATCAACTTTGTTAGCAATCAGGAGAAGTGCAAATTTAAAACATGAGGTACCAGCCAGACATGGTGGCTGACACCCACAATCCTAGCACTTTGAGAGGTCACGGCAGGTTGATTGCTTAGGCTCATGAGTTTGAGAGCAGCCTGAGCGAGAGCAAGACCCTATCTCTTAAAAAATAGCCAGGCATTGTGTTGGGCACCTGTACTCACAGCTACTCGGGAGGCTGAAGCAAGAAGATCACCTGAGTCCAAGAGTTTGAGGTTGCTGTGAGCTATGATGACATGGTACTCCACCAAAAGTGACAAAGACTGTCTTGAAAAATAAAAATTGAATGGGTGGAGGGAGGGGGATTGGAGGGATCACTTCTGAGGTTTATCTTATAGGGGTACAAGTGAATCTTTCTAAGAGTAGAATGTGAACGTTTTAAAACAATAACTGAGAAAATGACATGAGGGCTGTGTTGACCAGTTTGATGGAAGTATTTCAGATTGCATGTGAAAATCCCACACTGTACCCCAGAAGTGCATTAGTGTACATAGTTACCATTCAATAAAATAAAAGAAAAAGAAAAAGTTTTTAAAAAGGAGGTACCGTTATATGCTCATTAGAATGGATTCTAACACACTGTGGTAGGAGATTAGACTGTGAACTCTCTGGGAAGTCATTTGACAGTATGTTCTAACTGTAACCATATGCACACTCCATAACCCAGCAATTTCATTTCCAGGTATTATCAATTTAACAGAGGAAGGTATATGTATTGTTCACCAAAAGAACAAAAAATGTTTACAGGAGCATTGTATTTGGCATAGCCTCAGTCTATAATAGAAACAACACAGATGTCCACCAATAACAAAACTAACAAAGTAATTGCGGTATATTCATCTTCACCATGTACTCAATGAAACATAACAAGAATGTACAAGCAAAAAGCCAGAAACACAAGAATACCTATCGTGTGATTTTATTTATATAAAGTTGAAAAGCAGCTTCACTGTGGTGTCAGAAGTCAAGACAGTGGTTAGCTTTAGAGGGGAGGTAGGGAGCCATAATGGAAGCCAGGCAGGAGGCTGGATTCCTAGTGTCCAGCTGTTTTTTAACCTGGGCAGTGACCATAGGAGTGCATTTATTTTGTGACAATTCACGATTTGAGGCTTTTTCCCCTTCAAGGCTTTTGTAATATAACTCTATCTCATAAAGACGTGCGATTGTCTCTTGGTTTAAGTTATGATCCCAAGAAACATCCAACTGGACAAGGCACATGAGGATGGCTAATTGTGTTACTACGGAAAGCCATATATCTTCCTTGGGCAGCAATTTCCTCAACTGGAAAATGAAAAGATTAAGAAGTTAAATCTACTAAGGTTTTTCTAGTCTAAACTTCTACAAAATCACTTAAATTCTTGCTGCTTTAGTTTCCACAGAACAATAAAGAAATAGTAGTTGTCACTCTATAGCTAAAATACTTTCTGGAGGTATTTTCACATATTAATTGTAAGATGAATGACTCTGTTATCAATAATCTTCATATTTATTTACTGAGTATCAACTCTTCCACTTGTGTGATAAAAGCAGACTTTTATAAAAAGTCCCAAGTAGAGTGGCAACCTAATAATCTTTAAGGCCAAACACTGATGTGGTTGTCTGTCATAGACTATAATGATTAACCACCAAGCGTTTGTTTTTCTTTCAGTCTCAGGAAGAAATGACTAGGACTTGACAATCCCCATGGATCTCTTTTCGGATCCTCTCTGCCAGGCTTGCAAGCTTTGCCCCCTCGTGCACCAGTTGTAATAAATAATAATACAAACTGTAGGAGGTAATGAAGAAACTGTTAAAAGGACTATTTCTTAATAGAAAAAAAAATATTATATACAAGCTCACACAAATCAAAATGTTTGCAATTAGTATAATATTTGCAGTTTTACTTATAACACTGAAAAATAATCTATGATCTCACTTTTGTGTAGAATCAGATAAAATTGAACTCATAGAAGCAGTAAGTAGAATGATGATTTACCAGAAGCTGCAGGGAAGGTGGGCGTAGAATTTTTGATCAAAGGGTACAAAGTTTTGCATAGAGAGGAGGAATAGGTTTTGAGAACTATTGCATAGCAGAGTGGTAATTATAGGCAATACTAATGTATTATATATTTCAAAATAACTAAGAATAAACTAAAAATATCTCAACATAAAAAATATGTAAGAGAGGCAATGGATGTTGTAAATTAGATCGATTTAATTATTTTACATTCTATACATATATCAAAACATCACATTATGCCCCATAAAATCATACAATTATGATTTGCCAGTCAAAAATAATAACAGCAATAATTTAAAAATGCATTGTCAAGAGAGGCACCAGAATCCCTGATGAAAAAGTTTAAAATTTAAAATTAAAAAGTTAAAATGTAACATAATTCTAAAGATTAAGAATTGTGATACACACAAATAATGCTAAAAATATTTATTTTAAAAAAGATCTGATTTATCACGTAATCTGAAGTATTAACAGAAAAAGGGAAAGGAGAAAACATGGGGAAAAACAATATTTATAAAGTTATACAAATGTAAACATACTGAATATCAACTTAACCAAAAATAGGGATATGGTTCTATTAATACAATCAGTAAAGAGGAAGAGTATCTGTGTGTGTTTGACGAGAGGTGGGAGGGAAAACATGGGTATGAAAATAGAATAAGAATGATAACCATCATTCATGGGAGAACAATACAGTTTCTGAAATTGAGGGGGAAAAAATCAAGAAATAGCAAAAAAAAAACTCTTGCTTTTAAAAATGTAGTTAGAAACCAGAATAAAAAAAAGTAATGAAGTCAGTTGCAGTGGAAAGTGAGCTGGGGAGCAGGGACTGTGGTAGATGCTGATTGTGTAAATGATATGCACAAATTACCTTCATAAAAATAAAATAAAAGAGTGGCACCTGTGGCTCAAGGAGTAAGGTGCTGGCCCCATATACCCAGGGTGGCAGGTTCAAGCCCGGCTCTGGCCAAAAAATGCAAAAAAAAAAATTTAGAAAGCAAAAAAACTGAAGATAAATGCAAGTTTTTCAGAGTATTAGCAGAAGTTTTCTTTAGAAAGTGAGAGTTTTGGCTCGGTGCCTGTGGCTAAAGCGGCTAGGGCGCCAGCCACATACCAACTAAGGTGGCGGGTTCAAATCCCCAGCCTGGGCCCACCAAACAACAATGATGGCTGCAACCAAAAAATAGCCGGGCGTTGTGGCGGGCGCCTGTAGTCCCAGCTACTTGGGAGGCGGAGGCAGGAGACTCGCTTGAGCCCAGGAGTTGGAGGTTGCTGTGAGCGTGATGCCATGGCACTCTACCCAGGGGGATAGCTTGAGGCTCCGTCTCAAAAAAAAAAGAAAGTGAGAGTTTTTAATTTTTTTCTATTCATTTTCAACAAAAACCATGTCTTAAAAATGAAAGGGCAGAAAAAGACAAGAGGCCCCATCTTTCTTTTGCATGTTCTGCATTTCACATCATATTTACTCATTACATCTCACTTAGTACTCATCATAAGCCAGGGCTGCAAACATCATAATCCTGTATCTCAGAGAAGAAAAAAAAATAAGTGATGAAACTTATACAACGGCCCCCTCTTTTTTTTTTCTTTTTTAACACTATAAGAAGTGTTGATAATTTTAAAAAGAAAAAGATGTGGATGAATGAGAAAAAACCAGGTTTAGTGTTAAAGGTAAAAGGAGACTGGGCGCCTGCATTGCAAGAATGCGGAGAAAAAGGGTAACATCCTAAAAAGCCCAGGGAACATCAGTGTCGTTAGAGATGTCAAGGCCCCTTCTCACAAACCTATAATGTTTCTCTATCCACATATGTGCACAATTATTATAAATGTAATTTATCTGCACAAGTAAATGCCAATATAATAAGGGTTTCCATGTGGGGGCTTATAGCTTATAAATTCAAATAGCAAAACTGGATTCTTCTGCAGATCCCTTAGGGTAAGATGGAAGCAGGTCCCTTCTCCTGACAATTTGGACAATGGGGACATTCAGTCTAGTGAATAAGTTACAAGTGATTCCTGGCTGGGTACGATGGCACAAGCCTGTAATTCTGGCACTCTGGGAGGCCAAAGCAGGGGGATCACTTGCACATAGGAGTTGAAGACCAGCCTGAGCAAGAGTGATACTCCTGTATCTACTAAAAATAGAAAAAATTAGCCAGGTGTTGTGGCAGGCGTCTATAATCCCAGCTACTTGGGAAGATGAGGCAGGAGGATCACTTGAACCCAAGAGCTAGACTAATGCCACAGCACTCCAGCCTGGGACAAGAGTGAGACTCTGTCTCAAAAGAAAAAAGTACTAAGTGATTCCTATGAAAGCAAAAAGAATTTTTTGAAAATACAGACTGAAAAGTATAGCTCTGTAGACTTGATACATTGGCTTTCTTATAACTTCATTCTCAGGATGACAAATTAGTCAAATTAAATATGAAATTAAATTTATATAAAAATATTTTATAACTTTTATCTTCTCTACCCAAAGAAATCTGCTTTTCTTTTAAAGCTGAGAAGGAATGCTACCGCTAGGCATCACTTTCTCTAAACTCTGGAGATAGAATGAATTACTTCTTCCTCTACACTTTAATACTGACAGAATAATATTTACCATAATATACCATAAATAATTATGTATAGGTCTGTCTATCCTGCTAGATAACAAGTTTCAAGAGGTCAAAGGCTATAGATTATTTAGTACCAAAGAAAATACCTGAATACAAAATAAATCCTAGTAAAATTTAAGGTTTGAGTTAACAGTGAGCTACCTAAAGAAGAAAACTCACAAGCGCAGTGAAAAGGAAAAATAATGGAACAGCACAGCCCATTGAATTTAGGGTAGATTCTTTTATTTCTTTTTTTTTTTTAATTTTTGCTATTTTGAAACAGAGTCTTGCTCTGTTGTCTGGGCTAGAGTACAGTGGCTTCATCATAGCTCATTGCAATCTCAAACTCCTGGGTTCCAGTGATCTTTCTGCCTCAGCGTCCCATGCCACCATGTCTGGATAATTTTTTTTTTTAGGGACTACAGACTCATGCCACCATGTCTGGCTAATTTTTTTTTTTTTTTTTAGCAAAGAGGTCTTGCTGTGTTACCCAGGCTGCTCTTGAACTCTTGGTCTCAAGTGATCCTCCCATCGCAGCCTCCTGGTATGCTAAGATTACAGAGTGCCACCATGTCTGGGCCAGAGTTTCCAATTTCTTTCCATTCTGTTATGCCCCATAACAACAAGCTTAGCATAATTTATAACTGCAGTGCTACTTCCGCTTCAGTCTCTTTTAATTTTTCAGGTTGCAAATATCTATTCCTTTCTTTGTACTTCCAAGCACTTTTTACCTCTTTCAAAGCCTTCCACCCACTCTCCCCTTCTTTTTAACTTTTAAAAAAAATTTTCGAAAGGACCATATTTCATCTTAATTTATCTTTTTCATCTTAATTTATCTAATATACCATGGCTACAAATACTGGCGTGGCACATAACACACTCGATGAATGTTTATTCATTGACAATTTATTAGACTTGAAATATCGAAAAGATGATAGACAGTTTGTATCATTTCTATGGTCTTTCTTTGTGGCCAAATTGATAGCCAGAGCTGTCTTAGGATCCTTTTGTTTTCCTAATGAGTCCTTCCATTACATCCCACTGCTCCCTGGTGACCTACCACAAAAAGAAAATAACAATTTAATATGGTTCCTGCATTTTCTTAAAACTTAGTATCCAAGCTGTTAATATCACATTATATACATAAGATGGCATTACCTTTCTCAGATTGTTAAATTCCCCTGAAATTAATGCTTCCTCTCCACCATCAAATCTGATAGCCTGAAAAAATAAATTTTGGAACTTTGAAATTAACTCCTTTTAAAACATTTCTGAACCATTCTCCATATTCCCAGCCTAAAAGGATGGAGTATCTCCTCGGCACTTTCAATGAAAGCCCATTTTTAAAGACAAAACTCGTGATTAAACCTAAATTGATTTACTTGGGTGTAGAATACTATTTCCATCACCTCCACAATTTCAAATTCTACCCAATATTAAAGATCATCTTAATAGCATGTTTACTGAATAGCTTGCATTTAATAAAATTAATTTATCAATTAACATTTTATAGGTGAAACAATATATATAAAATTTTGATATCATTTATAGTTAAATAAATATTTTAAATCATATTTACATCCAGCATTGTCAGAATTGGTTCCACACCAATATGCCTCCCCACTCCAAACACGTCTCCAAAAACACAGTCACGAGAAATGAATGATGCTTACTGCTCCATTGATCCAAGAAGCATAATCACTACAAAGAAACGCAGCAAGATTTGCAAGTTCTTCCACAGTCCCCAGCCGACCACAGGGAATTCTGTCAATCATTCCTTTCTCAAATTCTCCAGTTGGGTCCAGTCGGCTAAAGGCACCCTTAGAAATTAAGAAAATTATCTAGGTTATATTTTGTGTGTTTGTTCATTTTTAATACAACCGCGTTCTTGTTTAAGAAAAAAAATTGTATGAAACAGAATGCTATCACGGCAGCCTTTTTATATTGTAGGCCTCGTAAGTAACAAAGAATTTCAACAAATTCTTCTCCATTCACCTTAGCCCTCAAACGAGTCATTTTACCTAACCTGGATCTACAAAAAGAATCAGCGGAACATGTAACCTTTTAAAACTTAGTTTCTTCTCTGTAAAATGAGGGTACCTATCTTAGCTACCTCATATAATTGTTTTAAGAATCAAATGAGAAATATATATATATAAGTACTCTAAAAAGTACACAAGTGAGGGAAGCCGTAGAGGGTACTGAGACAGGGAACTGGCAGGCACTGCTTTGGGTACAGCATTGCTGCAGCATTTCCTAACTGAGCTAGGAACTCTCAAAACAAAGTTTCAAATTGCCCTGATCACAACAGGACGGAGGCAGGGCAAGTTCCAACAGTTTGGCACCTGGATGGTTAAAGAACACCATCTGTGCCATGAACATTCCTCCCCTTGGTTAGCAGGGTGCTGAAATCAAAAGACAACAGAACCGGGGGCTGGTGTACTTGTGCAGAGAGAACTTGGCCCTGCTGTCTGTGGAGTCGACTTTCTATAGTTTCTGAATAAATCTTGCTTTCACTTTATAGTGCAGCTCGTTCCCGAGCAAAGCCGATGACCTACTTGGACCTCCTGCATTAGCAGTCACTTTCCTGTGTCAGGACTACCCTCATTTCATTTACTCTACGCACAGAAAAGTGACTCAACTGGGAATATTTAACAGGAAATTCCTTTTCTTCTCCCTTCTCAAAATAATAGGAAAGGAAGAAAACAAGGATGTAGGAATGTTAAATTCAAGTATATCCCTAGAAAGCAAAGCACTGTGAGTAAATTGGCCAATTTCTACTTTGTGTTAATGATGCAAAAGAACAGACCAAGATGGAATAGAGATGTGCACTGATTAATAAAAATGGCTGAGTTTTTCTGTACTAATGCCTTGAAGTTCTGGGTGACCGTTTTCCTCAGCACAGGTAGGAGACAAAGCAAGCAGGCCCCCAGGTCCCCCAGGCAGGTAGAAAGCAGAGAGGCAAAGGGGAGCAACTGGTCCCCACCCTGGCTCTGTAAGTACAGGCTGGAGAGTGTCAGACTCAGTTTTCTTTTAATCTCTTTAGAAGTAAATACCAATGTTTGGATACAACTCATATTTCAATAACTATAAGCTTCCTGATGACAAGTACTTTCTCACATGTTTCTGTATCTTTCTTCATACCTTTACGCACAGTGGCCATTCAATAAACACAAGGTGGTCATAAAGTTGGTGTGCAATTTATTACAATTGCACATCAACTTTATGGCCACCCTGTATATGTTAAACAGATTAAATGCAGGTGATCTTTTCTAGGTCTTTTAGTCCTAGAAAGACGTTTCTGTGACCATATAGTTCTTTTCAGATAGTACCAAGCACAGGACCACCCTGAAGCATGTATTGTGACGTATGCTTTTGAGTTATTTTTTCCACTAAATTAATTTGGTCATTTCCATGCTCTTATTTAACACCTGGGAGCCATCTATGACCCAAATGTTTCTTAGTGTATTTTCCAATGTAATTAATGTTTATACAACTGAAACGAGTTATCAAACTTTGCCTGAGCTTTCAAAGCTGCATTCTGGTTGGGATTATAAATTCTTGCTTTATATTAAAAAAGAAAAGTGTAAGAGTACAGTTATTTGGGGTAATGTGAAAAGAGAACCTGTGGACACTCTGAGCAACATCTGTGACAGCAGTAGTGACAATTATGAGTTGCGATCAGGATCTGTAAGGATTACTACCTACAGGTGAAATGCATGCCACTGAAGGATTTTTAATTGGAGAAATGTGGGGGTTAGATGATATGCATAACTGACTGAAAGTGAAAAGACACGGCCATGAGTCAAAGAAAACGCTGCCTATAGTGAGACCAATCCTGTATGATAAGTTTCCAGAGCATCTCTTACACTAAAAATAGAGTTACACCTCCATGATTGACAAAAAATATGTCAAAGTTAAGTCTTTAAAATTAAGAAATACAGGACAGTAAGAGATAACTGAGCCAAATCAGACAAAATACAAAAATTGATGGCATAAAAGAGCCCAGAAGATTAAAACATCAAAATAGCCCTATTCAAGAAGTTGCATTCCTGCTATACTCCTGCCTACCTCCTTAGTCCTTAGATTGAATAACAGCAAAAGCCTCTTCTCTACAATGAGGGCTTTCCCAGAAAGTCCATACAACCACCAGAGTACATCTATCACTTTCATTCTCTATCATTCACAATATAATAATAAGCAAACTACAACTTACTTTGGTTTTTATAGGCCCTGGTTGAATCATGTTGAATCGCATTCCATATTTACCCCATTCAGCTGCAAGAGACCTAAAAATTAAAATAAACAACATACATTCTAAAATATCATACCAGATGTTTAAAAGACTAGAAACAAGACTTACTGTCTGATTGCTACCTGCCAGAGATTACAGGTAGGTGCCACTGTTATTACGGAGGTTCCACGTGGGTAACTAAGGCAAACTGAGGTTAAGTCACATGGGTAGCCTGAAAACCTCAGGTGGTCTAGCTTCAGAGATTGTGCCAAATCATTCTGCTGTAAAACCTACCATTTAGGTTTTAGTGTCTTTAGCCACTATGCTGTACTACCTATCATTTATTTACATTTTAGAGTAAGAAGTCCAATATCAATATACCTTTACCAAATAAGGATTCATTACTCAGACAAAAACGTGAGTGCTTCAAGCCCTTCCCTCACATTTTCTGGAGTTCAGTCCTGCAGTTACAAGGTACATTATAACTTTATTTATAACCCTTGCATGAGATTACAATGTCTGCAATGTCACAAGTGCTTTAATTAAGAGCTGAATTATACAGATTTAAAATATGAGCCACATCCATGTTTAAGTAGGCCTTAATACAACTGTTGGACTAAACATGAAAAGAAATAGGAATCTAACTAAACCTTGCTTGATGTCCTACAGCAAAACATAACATTGACAGCAACGGGGAACTTTGAAGCAACTTTTTCTGAAAGCCTACTCAACAGATAGGACTAACATTTTTTAATCTAAATTTATTTTAGAAATTTACATTGATATGTATATTTGCATGAATATACTTAATCTAGTTTCAAAAATGACTTAAGGTAGTTTTAAAAAGACAAGTAATACACATAAGGAGGATATGATAATGTGAAGGACACTTTCATAAAAACAGAGAGAGAGAGAGAAACAGGGATAAGGAAATACAAAGGAGCCAACAATGAAGCTAACGAATGTTTTGTGAAGTTCCATATAACTTCAATAGTCACATCACAGACTTGTATCTACTCTTCCCATGACCCTGGGCAAAAAAATAAGTCTAATCAGTTACACAAATCACAGTGCCCCCAAGGAAAAAGCAAGCTAATTGTTCAGGAAAAACACAATTATTTCTAATACAAAAGTCAGAAAAACATTTCTTCCTGCAAGATTTATAAAAAGAAAATTATGTTAGATAATAATGTCCTTAAGACACTCCATCCTTGCAATAGATTACATGGGATAAGTTTTATGAAGTTATATTTCTTAATATAGCCTAACAGCATTACTTCAAAGGCCAATTCAGTGAAACCAATTGTAAGGGACAAGGAATATGTAATTCAAGAACAAGCTCTTGACCCGACTTGATCCATGAATGCGTTCTAGAGAAATGGGTAGGCTGCCTCTCTTTGAGGCAAATCACACAAAAACACTGCTCCTCTCTCTCTGAGTGATCCTTTTGACAAAGTTCATGACTATACCTACCCTGGGCATGTACCTGTAGTGTAGCTACTCTAAATCGCAAAAGAAGGAGTAACTTCATGTCTTGTCTTGATAGAATTACTGAGCAGAGTCTAACTTGTCCTGTGAAAAAGTGAGTGACCTGTTAAGAAAACCTGCCTAGACAAAAAGCTATCCTATGGCTTAGAGGTATGCCAGATAAATTTGCTCAATTGCTAGCATTATCTATCAGGTCTCATCAAGCTAGCTCACCAACTGAAGAACTATCATAGTATAATAAGGAGTCCACCTCATACAGTTAACTCTGCATGTTAAGATGCTAAGCACAATACACTCAATATATGTTAGCCAGTGCTGTTCATTCATCAAACGTTTATCATGTACTTACCAGGTGCCAACATACTATAAGTATTGTTTAGCCTCCATGAAAGAAAGTTTGGCCCTGCTCTCAAGAAAGGAGTCCCTCTCTCTCAGGAGAGGTCAGTTTGATGGTATAATGAACTAGTTGCAGACTGGGAATTGTGCGAAGTGAGCCATAGCTGTTTGAAGGAAGAAACACCTCTGTCTACTGGGAGGGATAAGGGAGGCTTCCTTGACGTGGCTGATATTTGAGCTGATACTTAAAGAAGGTTTAGGAGTTTGCTGCAGAGGGCAGGGGGAAGGAGATGGGGATGGGAAGGTAGGACGGAGGCAAGAAGACAGCGCAGGCATATGGGGCCGTACGAGTGAAAAACAAAGGCAAGGAGCACATGTCGTTCTTGGGCACCCCAAGGTCTCATGCAGTAGGACTGTGCCGTGTAAAGGTGGAAATTCACATTGTGAAGGAAAGGACGTATTTATTGAGCATCTGTTATATGCAGTACGCTGTTCAAGAAGCCAAAGAAAAGCAACACAGAATCACTGGAACCTCTATTAAGATTCAAAAGTCAACAGGACAAATATTGATAAGGTAGAATGCTGCCCAAATAGTCCGATTCCAGTCCCTTATTTCTAAAACCATCTGACCTCAAAAAAAGGGTAATTATCTCTAGTCCCACTAAGATTCAATTCCTGAATAAAACAATACTTCTATCTCAGACAAATGTGTACTACTGATTCAAATAGTTAAAAGTACTTTCAGACACATATCAACAAGCATGGAGCACCAGCTGCACAGCAGAGCCTCCTGGGTAAGGAGAGACAAAGACACGCTCCCTTCCCTGACAGAACTCAGACCTGCGATAGGGGCCAGCAGCTTTAATGTTACATTTAAAAGTCTGCCACGCCCTTCTCTGCGCTTCTGTGCTCTCTGCCACTGCCTTCATTTTAGAACCTACTTATTAGTTTGTTTGTCTCTCCCTAGATTGGATTAAACAAAGTTTTAGAACACAGAGAATGGAGAGCGATTAATTCTGTGTAAAGAGATAAAACATCCCAGAGGAGGTGATATAACCAAAAGCCTTAAAAGTAGGAAAGATATCACAGCAAACCCAACAACAGTATAGACATCTGCAAACGTATGGCATGTTTAAGGAAACACGAAGCAGTTCGATGGAAATTAAAGTGTAAGAATAGCATAAAAATAAACTATTGGTGAGAAGAGAATATACAGAATAACATAAAACTCTAAGCTCAGCTAAAGATGAGGGCTGCTCTATTTCCATCACTATCACATCCCTGGTCCTTAGCACACAAAAGGTACACAATAAATATTTATTGAATAAATTAATTAAGAAAGGCCAGGGACAACGCTGTTTAGAGTGAAACAGCAACAGTGACTTTGCCTTTTATTCCAAAGAGTGATAGGAAATGATTTAAGGTATTTAGCCAGGTAGTATTGTAAACAGAAATATATTTTTAGAAAAATAATTCTGGTAGGAATATGAATACAAAATGAAAAGGAAAGAGACCGATGCAGGAGAAATATAGGATTAGGACAGCAAGCCAGAGAAGCAATGAGGAGAACTTCCATTACAGCAGAGACAGTGGAGAAGGCCACTGAACAACAGACTCAGAAAGCATCACACCCTGCTGAGAGAAAGGCCACTAGACTCAGCCCGTGCTTATGATCTGTGTTAGTCTTATACAGTAGGAATAATAAAAGAATAAGATGTGTTTACAAGAAGTTAGGGATGGCTGAGTAAAGATACAGGGAAAGCAAAAAAAAAAAAAAAGAAGAAGCTATAGTCCTGTGATGTGTAATAAGTAACTACGAGTCACATGTGGCTATTTAATGTTATTTTAAAATGTTTACATTTCGTTTCTCAGTCACAGAGGCCGCATTTCAAGGGTTCAATTGCTCCACGTGACTGTTGGACAGTGCAAACTCACAGAAAATTTCTATCACGGCAGAAAGTTCTATAGGACAGTGCTGCGAATTAGGGCTTGTTTTACTTTTCTCTGTGTGGAGACCAGAAAACAGGAATTTAGTTCCCTGAGCTTCTCAAGTACATCATTATCTTCAGCCGCAAGGTCATCACAGAAGTACTAACTTGTACATGGCTTCCACGCCTGCTTTGGCAGAAGCACTTGGTACCACGAAACCTGATCCAGTCTCAGCATAGATGGTAGTAATAGCAAGGAATGCTGCTCCTGAAATTTTAAAAAGATACAAGTGATTAACAGTACAGCATTAGGAAATTCGCATTAGGAAAACATGATTTATAAGAATAGGTTCTGATTCAAAAGGGCATTAACAAAAACAGAAGCACTTTTTAAAACTTTCCTAGCCCCAAATTAATGAAAAAGTAATCTAAGAAAATTAATTATTTCTCTTTCATAGTGACTTTGGCAAAGATAACTACTCTGGTGTATGTTTACCAAGGAGTACTATTCAGCTATAAGAAAAGATGGAGACTTTACTTAATTTCTGTTTACCTGGGTGGAGTTGAAATACAGTCTTCTTATTAAAGTATCTCAGGAATGGAAAAAGGATATCCAATGTACTCAATACTAATATGAAGCCAATATATAAACAACTCCATGCCCACAAGAAAGATAAAACACAAATATAGTCTAGTGAAGGGGAGAGGGAAAGAGATAGGTGAGGAGGAAGAAAGGAGAGTGACTGGTGGGATCTCGCCTAAAGCACACAATGTGAGGGTGTTCAGCACGCCTCCTGGGTGAGAGGCTACAACTTGAACTTTACCTTACAACTGAAAACAATGTTATGTAAACATTTGTACCCTCATGTTAATTTGAAATAAAAAAAATTTCAAAAAAGAAATATAAACTTTAAAAAATTGCCATAACTTACTATTAATCTTCCTGTCTCTTAGAGTGGCCCAGTCTGTACTTATTTGGAATTCTATAACTAGAAAGTCAATACAAGAGCTCAAAGCTCAGAAGTATGCCCTAGAACACCAGCTGGACAGGATTCCTATTAACTAAGTACCAATGAAACAAGAATAAATGAGAATTAGAACTAAATAAGTAAGGTCTTCTGCTTCAAGCCATGATGGACTTATCCTTCCACTGCAAATATAAAGAAAGTAAGATGTGTGATACAATTATTTTCTGATATTCTCCACAGGTAGGGAAAGGCAGTGGTTCCCTGAGAGATGGAAAAAGGAATGAAATAAGCCCTAAGATCATCCCAGATGTTTGCCTAATGAGAAAACGGAAAGCACAAAAATATAAAATACAATATCTAAAGCAAAGGATTCAATATCTGAGGTAAAAATTAAGTACATTAGCTTAACTGCAGGAAAACCAATCCATGAACTTGAAAACACAGCCATATAATATCCAAAATGAAGGACAGAGGGGAAAACAACTGAGAAAAGAAAATAGCAGAGCCTCACTGACCTGTGGAACGATATCTCAAATTTTAATACATGTATAAATAGAGTCCCAGAGGAAGAAACAGTACTTGGAGGACTAAAAATTTCCAAATTAGATAAAAACTATAACTTTCAGAGAGCAAAATAAATCCCAAGCAGGACGAGCAGGGGGAAAACTCAAGACCTACCATCATCAATAACTTAAAATCGATGAGAAGTAAAAATCTTAGCAGCTAAAGGAAAATAGATACAATATAAATATGGGAATACAGTAATTTTTCTTTGACTTCTCATCAGAAATAATGTACAGTAGAAAGCAATGGAATGACATAATAAAGGTGCTGAGAGATAAAAAACTCATCAACCTTATATTCTATATCCAGCAAAAATATCCTTCAAAAGTGAAGGGGATATTTTTGAATAAACAAAAGCTGTGAGAATTCACTGCTCTCAGCCCTGCACCATAATAAACGTTAAAGAGCCTTCTTCAGGCTAAATGAAAATGATAGTAGACAGAAGCTCAGATCATCAAAGGAAAGACTGATATCAGAAACGGTAGATACGTAGGTAAATATAAAACGTTTTTCCTCATTTTCTAAATTTCTTTTTAAAATAACTGACCATATAAAGTTACACTAAAAAGTGGCAATGTCGTACAGTAATCAGCAGTACCTGGGTCCCAGTAGGTTCTTAAACAAACTAACTGAAGGAATGAAAGCTTAAAGGAATAATCTTTAGCTCCTGTGAAATCAGTGAGTTTCTACTTCTTACTTAATCACAGCACTAGATAAGACAATACTCTTGAGTTTAACATTTCCAAAAGGATCAGAATGCATTTACGTATTTCACAAAACAGGGCATGCTTTAAGAAATTTAACTTTGAAGGACTGAAAGGAAAGTCTTCGGAAGAATATTCAGTTCAGTTTTTTTCTCTCCTCCACATATTTAGTTTCTCTTTCTCTCAGCATTTTCCACAGTAGAAATAAAACTCAGCACATCCTGGAAAACATGGGGGTGGAGGAGGGGGCAGGAGCACCATTTTGAGGATATGAAAAGTAAGAATGGTTATGTTAGTCATTCTGGTAACTCCTTTTATATATCAAACTCAGCCTTTCAGATCTCTGAAAATTACTTTGCTTCTAAAATCTTACTCTGTGAAAGAGGAGGTATGTGGAACACTAGTGGGCTTTATTACAGAACATTGAAACAGATGTTAACTGCATCATTCTTGCAGCAAAATTATTTTTAAAACTACTTTAAGAGTGACAATTACTTACACAAAGAACATGGTCCATAGAAAGTGCACTAACTTCCAATAAAGATTCAGCAGATAAGTTTCTCCAAGAGTGGGAGAGGAGTTCGGCTACTCTAATGTAACTGAGATGCTTTTTTCTTAGCCTAAAAAAATCTGTATAGCCCACTGCTTAGAATGAGATACTGCTAATTTTGGTTCTCCCTGAGTATAAACACAAGGTAAAAAATTGAAATTGCTGTTCCAATAGGATTTATGCTGGACAGTGTAACAATTCACAGCTGGACTTCAAAAAATGAACAGTGGGCCTAAAAGCTCAAAGATTTCCCACATTCCCAAAATTAGTCACCGACATGCTTTTCTTCTTATAGGAAGGCCAATAATTTCTATTAGAATAATTGCCCACAGAAGAGGTGTGTAAAAGGCAAATTCTAATAGCCCAGTGCAGACAAGAGAACTAAATCTATGTTATTTGATGAAGTTAAGAAAATAAAGAATCAGCACATTGTACCCCACATATGCATGAATGTATTCATGATCTATGTGTATTTGTCTTAATAAAACAAAGTAAATAGAAAAATTTTTTAAAAAAGAAAATAGAGAAAGGAAGCAACAAACAAAATAAATATTATGCTAACCCACCCATTATTTTAACATGGAGAAAATTAGTAACAAAGAAATATTAAAAACCACGCTATCAAAAAATCCAAAATGTGTACACACAGGATCCAATTTCAAAATAAGATTCAAAAGCTGTAAAGTCTGATTTAAATACACATAATGAAAGTTAAAAGCATCAGTGACCAATTTTACTTCTAATGTCCAACAGAGGTACCGTAGTACAGTAAAAGATACCTGGGTGCGAATGCTGATTCCACTATTTACACAGACTAGCCATGCAGGCAAGTCTCATCTCTACTCTGAACCCTAGATTTACTACTTACAAAATAATAAAATAGGGATTGTCTAGCAAATGTCATTAAATTCAAAGGATTACTTTTAATTCATTATTGCTGTTGTTTCTACCTATTACTGTTTCTGAGCCTTCATGCAAAAAGCCTCATTTGGAAAGTAAGAATATCCAGCTTTTTAATCTCCATCTGTAACTAAAATTGATGTTATTTTATGTATGTATATATGTACGTATGTATTTTGATTCAGGGCCTCACTCTATCACCTAGGCTAGAGTGCAGTAGAACCATCACCGATCACTGAGACCTCAAACTCCAGGGTCCAAGTGACCCTCCCTCAGCCTCCCAAGTAGCTGGGACTATAAGCAGACACCACCACACCCAGCTAATTTTTTTTTAATTTTTGTAGAGACAAGTTCTCACTCTGTTGCTCAGGCTGGTCTTAAGCTCTTGACCTCCCAAAGTCCTAGAATTATAGCCACGAACCACCATACCTGGCCAAAAAAAGGATTTTCTTTGACTTCACAGCTAAATTGCCACTTTCACTGAAATTTGACTTCTGGTCTCAAACCTACAAATTCATCTGTACCCAAATTTCAAGCCCAATATCCATCATCATCTTGTAGATGTGAATATCCAGGTAGATAACATCATAAATCTTACAGCTCCATGATGTCCCCATCCCCATCGACCTTCATGGCCAGTCACAACCTGACCTTTGCAGTCACTCCGAATCCCTGAATAGAGAGAGTGCCTACTCTCTGGACTCTGTTCTTCCTATTCTCTCCCACTCTCATCCTGTGTGTGATCTTTTAGACTGCATTATAAAGTAGGGGTGTTTTTCTCTCCCATCTCCTTTAGCTTATTATTCCTTCCTAGTCTAATTTGAGTATCTACAGCCTAGACTATTCTGTGAATTAATCACTCAGTTCCTAGCCTCTCAAGATAGGAGAGAATTCTCCCTGTAACTAACTCTTCACACCACAGCTGCCTTCTCCACTCTTGCACAGAGGTAAGTTTAATACTGCTACAAACTATAGGTGAATGCCATTGGAAAGATGTGTCCTACCCGGGCTCTCAACGGAACCTATCAACTCTTTCATATCCAGATAAGCCTCTGCGCCTGTGTTTCTGACTCAGCTCCTGAGGCTAAACTATTCCTTCACTGGTCGTCTCTTCTTTCTCCTTCCGTGTTAGCACCTCTCTTCATTGGGCCCTCCCCTCAGTCATCAATCATGCTCCAATAACCACTCTGATTATGTCTCTTCCTTTTTTTTCCCCTCTTAACAATTTTTTTTATTAAATCATTACTGTCCTTCAGTTTAACTCTACCCATCTCTGAGGATAAATCCATGTCCCTCTGTCTCCTCCCAACCTCTCCAGGCATAACATGCTGCACATAAGCACTGCTGAACTCCTCGTACATCCTAAATGCAGGACTGACCTATTGTTTGTAGCTGGAAGTCTTCTATTGTTATTGCTGGCCATTAATCTTACTGACAATCATGGCAAGAGAAACTTCTCTGTCTTTTTGATGAGGGTACAGAGGAAACTTATCTCCCAGCCATCTTTCAACGAGAACCCAAATTAAAAACTAAAAATCATCAATGCTTTTAAAGTTGCATAAAGGAGAAATATATAAGTAAA